GCCCCTCGGCAAGCGGCTCGGCTCGGCCGCGCTGGCCCGGGCAGTGAGAGCTGAGGGCCAGATACTCTCGTCTACCCGGGCCCTGAGGAGCTTGCTTGTGGGCCGCCATGCACCGCCACCAGGAGCGCAGACCCCGCGCCCCGGCGTTAGCCTGGGCCTGCGGCGCCCTCTGCTACTTGCTGTGGGCAGAGTCGGTGTAACCGCTGGAGAGTAAAACCTGCTGGCTCATTTCAAGGCACCATCACAACTGTTTGCTGCCTGAAATCTGGAGCATCTGCTGTTTGTGTCAAAACGCCCCAGACGAGCTCCCGTGTGGCTCTGTGCCTGGGAGGGCGTATCAATGTAACACGCCAGGTCAGGGGATTCAGTGGCAGGCAAGCGCTGTGCAGTCATTTGGAAATTCAGGCTCTCAGGTTTGTTTGCTGCTTTCTGCAGTTTTCTTACGAATGTTTTGAAGAGGGGAGTTGAAATGTCCTGAAGGAAACGGCTTCCAAAGCATGTAACGGAGGGGAGAACGGCCTTCCACCGCAGTGCGGACACACGCAGAGGAAAAGAGAGCCTGGCTTGTAACCAGAGCGTTGAGAGAAGCTGGCTTTGACTGTCTGTGTTCTGGTTTAGGATCTCCTCTGGCTAGGGCCATGCCGCAGCAGGGTCTGTAAGGCACATGCCTGTCCGAGCTATGTCAGCCTAGCACAGCAACACACCACAGGAACTGGATCCCGTGATAGCTTTCTAGCCCACCGGTTCCTTTGGCACTAACTAGGAGGGTGCCCAGAACTCGGAGAGCCGAGGCTGGGAATTCCCCCACAGGCCTGACACATTTTATTTCCAGCCACTGTGCACACGCCCGTAGACGCGGGTCTGTCTGCCCGTATGTGCCACTCACAGCTGCGGATGGGACAGTCCCTGCTCTCAGCAATGCGAACCCCTGCGGGTAACTTCGTCTAGGAGCCGCGCGTTCAATGGGGCGCTGTCCTGCCCGCGGCGAGCCCGGCACGCGGAGTCTCTGGAACTTACCTTCACAAAAAGCTCAATTTCGGGCTCCCTCCGAGGGCCGTGCCGCTGGCTGGCCATCCTCCCTGCTGTGCGCGCTGCTGGCTGCACCCCCTGCTCCGCTCCGAGTGCAGGCAGGCGGCGACCAGCGAAGCAGCCCCCAATGAAGACACCCCAAGCCCTGCGCTAGCACCACTCGGCCATGGGCAGTTCTGTCGCAGGCCTTTTCCTTCCTCCTCCTGACTTCTGAACTGAGGAGGAGCGCGAGGGGTGTGCGGCGACTGCTGGGGCGGGAGTATTTCCCCAGGGGCCTCCCTGCGGTGACTCAGCCTCCCGTGTATCGGAGAGCATGCACGAGGTCCCCGCCAGCTATCGAGCAGGCCAGCTGCTGCCCTGGGCGCCCTCAGCTGTGGGCTCACGTCCCAGAAAAGGCCCTTTCTCTTGGGTTCCTGCAGGCGCCTCCCAATCACAGGAAACGGGGTGGAAGTGCCTTGTGCCGCATCAGTTGGAGCCGTCACTTCTCCCGTTCTCCTGTCAGGAGGCAAAAAGTCCCGACTCCAAAGCACGTCCCTCCCCGCCCACAGAAAGGGTGAGGCCAGGCCAGATTGCCACGAGCTCTGCCTTAGACGCTGGCAGCTCTGCTCGCGATCCCTCCCGCCCGCTGCGCAAAGCCCCCGAGCGCCAGGGCAGGGTCTGAGCCGCCTCCCTCCGGCCTCTCGCTGTTGTGGCCCCCAACTCGGTGGGAGTTTCCGCTCCAGTCCCGTGTCTCTGGCTCAGCCCGTGTCTGGAGCGAGTTGGGGGCAGCGTGGCAGGGAGAGCCGGGGGCTGCCTGCTCCACCCACGTGCCGCTCGCTCAGAGGGCTGCTTGGTGAAGAGGGCCTTGGGCAGGTCCGGCCAGGGACTGAGGAGAAGCTGGAGAATTTCACTCTGCCCCGTGCCCTGCCCGTTGCTGACTGGGGGCTGCTGGGCCCAATGGAAAACCCTGCAAATCGATCGAGCGGGAGGAGGGCTCCGTGTCTCTGGCTCTGCGGCCCCAAAGGCCAGTGGGGTGGGGGTGGGGGGCGCAGGAGCAGGGGGCGTGGCTGAACTGGGCCTTAGTGGGGAATCTCTGTCCGACTCAGCCGAAGAGCCTAGTTCTGGAGCTAAAGCCGCCTCAGGAGCCAGCTCGCTTTTGCTCCAGAAGGGAAGGGCCATGAGTGTGTCATTATCGGTGGCTGCTGCCACCCCTCCCTAGGGAACCCATTCCAGTGCGCCACCACCCTCCTGGGGAACCAGCTTTTCCTAGGACTTCCCGCCATTGCACCTGGACCAGTGCTCCGCGCTCTGCCGTGTCACCGCTGAGACCAGCCTGGCTCCCTCCCCTCTGGAACCCCCCTGCAGGGAGCTGGAGGCTGCTCTCAAATCCCCCTCACGCTTCTCTTCTGCAGACCAACAAACCCAAATCCCTCGGCCTCTCCTCGGAGGTCGTGTGCTCCACCCCTTAATCATTTTGGTCGCCCTCCACTGGGCCCTCTCCACTGCGTCCACATCCTTTCTGTAGTGGGGGCCCAGAACTGGACCCAATACTCCAGATGTGGCCTCGCCAGAGCCGAATAAAGGGGAATAATGACATCTCTGGATCTGCTGGCAGTGCTCCTCCCCTGGGCCTGTTCTGCAGTGTCGCAGGGTTGGGATTCTCTGCGCTCGGCCTGTTGAACCGCATCAGATTTCTTTGGGCCCAACCCTCCCGTTTGCCTCGGTCACACGGGGCCCGGCTGCAGGGCAGAGCCAGCCCCCTCGATCGCCCCAAGCTGAGTGTGTGTGTCGGGGAGCCCCCGCCCCTGCCCCCATCCGTCTGCGCCAGCCGGGAGAATGGAGGGGTATTGCTGCTCCGAGGTGCAGCACGGCCTGGGACGATGCAGGCGTGAGAGGACGGGCCGACAGCCCTCGTCCCCTCGGGGGGAGGGGTCACAGGCCCCTGACCCCCTCCACTGGTTAGCCTGCTTCCTCCATGCTCCCCCCCACACCTCTCCAAGCCACCCCCTCCCTTTGTTCAGGGAGGCGCAGGGTGCGCGTGTGTGATGGTGCCTCGGGGAGCCCCCGCCCCTGCCCCCATCCGTCTGCGCCAGCCGGGAGAATGGAGGGGTATTGCTGCTCCGAGGTGCAGCACGGCCTGGGACGATGCAGGCGTGAGAGGACGGGCCGACAGCCCTCGTCCCCTCGGGGGGAGGGGTCACAGGCCCCTGACCCCCTCCACTGGTTAGCCTGCTTCCTCCATGCTCCCCCCCACACCTCTCCAAGCCACCCCCTCCCTTTGTTCAGACCCTTCCCCGGTCAGGTGAGCACCAGCTGGGCCATTGTCTAGGGGACATGCGGGTCCTAGGGCGCCCCCCGCTGGGCCGTGCTGACAGACAGGGCAGTAGGGTCGGCCACAGCCCAGCTAGCGCCCAGCGGCTGCCCAACCAGAGTGAGCCTAGGCCCCCAGAGTAGGCAGCCCCCACTGCGCCACAGCGGGTCCTCTGGCAGCCCCGTGTGTGGCAGGCGCTTGCCGAGATGGAGACTTGACTCAGTGTGTCGCTCTGTGCTTTCAGCAGGGGAAACGGCTGTTTGCCGGTCGGAGAAAGCAGCGGTGCAAGCTAGCAATCTGGCAACACCCACCCCGATCTGGGGAGGGACGGTGTTTGTGTTCCGCTTGTTTTTGCCAGTTTCACTGGCCAGGAGAGCTTTGCACACCCGGTCCCGGCGCCGCCTCACTGCAGAATTCCAGGGGCCTTTGCAGGGCCACACGCCTCCTGAGAAGGGGGGAGCAGCCAGCTCTGCCAATGAGCCTTTACTGGTCAATTATGAGGCATTTCTCACGGAAGGGTGAGGGGCACACATGTGGTATGCGCACACACCCGTGCACACTCACGTGTGCACACGCACGCTCACGAGCGTGCACACACACACACCCGTGCACACCCCCCCCCACAGAGTTGCTAGTCATTCTGGCAATGCAAAGAACCACCCATTGTTAACGGACAATGGGTGCCTCTGAGCACTCGGCACCGGCGGCAATAAAAGCCGAGCTCCCACCCAGCCTGGAGCCCCGCTGGCTCTGGCCCCGGGCAGCGTGCGATGACTGTGCCTCGGCAAATGCTGGGGGTGCAGGTCTCAGGGCTGGGGGCAGTGCTGGGCGCCCTTTGCTTCTCCACGGTGCTGCAGGGAGCATTGTTAACGGACAATGGGTGCCTCTGAGCACTCGGCACCGGCGGCAATAAAAGCCGAGCTCCCACCCAGCCTGGAGCCCCGCTGGCTCTGGCCCCGGGCAGCGTGCGATGACTGTGCCTCGGCAAATGCTGGGGGTGCAGGTCTCAGGGCTGGGGGCAGTGCTGGGCGCCCTTTGCTTCTCCACGGTGCTGCAGGGAGCCCCGGAGT